TCAAAGCAAAGGTGATCTCGAATAGGATGAAAACCTGTCGAAGAAAAAAGTTCACACATGAAATGGAATACTTTTTTTTTTATTCATACATACGCAACAATTTCATCTTTCCAACAGTTCAATTTTCACAGCATTTCCAGTTAGCACCCGAATCCAGCAACCCAATACTCCATCACGATGTAGCCTAGTATTCCGCAAATATAGTAATCACAAATTTCGCCGTCGCATGATCAATTTTTTTTCTTCGTCTTCTGGGATCATTATTGTCGGTCGAGAAAGAAATATCTGGGTGTAAATCTGAATGCACGGAAGTGCGAATACAAGCATAAGCGACAAAAACTCTCAGAATTCCAGAAAACCATAAAAATTACAGTACTCTTATTTTTCTCTATCCATGTATTTCCTTTTCTGAGCAGTTGTGCAATTCCGCACGTCGCTTTGACCCGAATCTCCAATTCTTCACGAGCACGATTCTCCCTGGTTCGTCGTCTAAGGCAAGCTGAACTTCTCGCACAATTGCAGTACTTTGCTTGCTTTCGTTTCCTTTTTCCTGCGAAAATCCTGGAAAGTATCTTTTTCAGTACTGCATTTGAAAAAGAACGCGGAAGCTCAGCGAATAAACCGCCTCCACAAAAGCCGGTTGCTGGTTTTGCTCCCGGATTGCTTGTTCGTCGGATCTGAAAATAAAAAAAAGGTGAGCGGGAGAAAGAAACGTTTGAAATCATCGTTGCAAGAATGAAGAAGGAATAACTGATGAAGAATTTGAACATTATACCCAAACTACGAACTTTCATGGTATTTTCGGTTCCTGTCAGGCGCATTTGCAAAAAATAATTTCCTGCGTGGTTCTTGAAGGAATTAAATGCACAAACTAAGCATGAATCCCAAACAATTGAACCGACAACGCGGAGTGCTAAAATAAATTTGATACGGCGATTTAAAAGAAGCAGGGATTCCAACTAAAAATGCCATGCATAAAACCTTGCATGGAGAATTTTTACAGGATTCTTGGTTGAGAGGCTCGACCCCCAGAAGGTAGAATCATATTTTTAAAAGGTTGAGAAATAAAAAAAAATGCACCACAGAAAATCGCGTTATAAAGAGTTTATCTCGACCAAATTTTACATCCACAGCATTTGAATGAGTCCTGGTTCATGGGTAATAAGATATTGTTAAGAGCATGAAATTCTGTCCATGTCCGCGTATGTTCGTAGCTTCACATGGCTTTCCATTCCATTAAATGCTTTTCCCCAAATTCTTAAAATTCCATGAATTCTCAGTGGGTGAATCTAAAGAAAACGAGGACGGACTCAATCTTGACAATTCAACTTAACCATGAAATACTGCTGTATTGTACTTCTTTTGATACGAACTGAGACAAATCGAGCAGCAAAACCGATTTGTCAAACCCATGCTTAGATTTATTGTAACGAATTGGGGCCGAACTCTTATATTTTCTAAGTGGAGTTGATTTTACAATATAAACATTTTTTAGCAGTGAATCATTTCACTTAATGCGATTTGGGTCACTTCTCCTGGCTACCACTAGAGATTCATTCAGTGACTTAATGGGGTCAAGCACCATTAATGTGACCCAGTTTTGGGCCCCCAATCCTTTTTCACTCCACATTTCAAATTAAGTTTAGAGCTGCTCCACATTTTCAGTACTTGGATTCAAAATCCATCAGTATCTGAGGCTAGGTTAGCTGGGGAACTCATCTCAGATTTAAAAGAAAAATGTTTGTCATTCTGATAGAGCAGCTCAATCAACTAATGGAATTCAATTTGTGGCACTGTTTTTATAATTGGATTTATCACATTAAAAATGCATTTTAATTGTTGGAGATGAGTACAGCATGTTGAACAGCACTGAAGTGTTGCCACATGATGGGGCTAGGCAACTAGAAAAAAAAATTGGGAAATGTTGAAAATCTGCTGGAAATATTTTGAAAAGCTGCAAAACTTGTGAACCAACCCTTGTACGTGCCATGCGTGATTCCCTCTCCATTCAACCGCCTCAAAAATTAAAATATTGCATTTTTTTATTCTGCAAATTAAGTCTTCTGGTACTTGGTTCAAAATCATTTGCAAAATTCAAACCCACTGAAGATACATATTAGGTTAGCCCAAGTTTTTTAGAGAAAGATTGTAAGAAATCCCTGTCATATTTGCATGAACACGGTATAAATTAAGGCTTGCAATAATGCTCAAGCCTTATTCACTCAAATAATTGCCCTGGTATTTCTTCAGATGCCCTTTTTCTCCTGTTTTTTTTTTTTTTTTAGAAAGGCCACCTTCTGAAGTCAAACCTCAATTTATTGCCAACATATGTCCTGGCACATTTTGTAGCACTAAATGTAGGGTGGCATTAAATTGGGAGCATTGTAAGAGAGAGAGGATTAGTTGAGGGCTTCTATTGCATGCCTATCTTATTTACAGACTGTTCAGGCCACTCAAGAACAATTCAATCTAGATCTCCATAACTGTAAGACTTCGCCTCAAATGTGTATAAATCCCATTTTTGAGACATCTGCACTGTTATTTGGAGGAATAAGGGAAATGGAAGAGCAATACAAATATAACTACAGTAGATGCTTTTCAGGCAGGAAGTGAATGACCCATTTGGGTTTCCTCAGAAGTTCAGCATTCTTTCAAGTCATTTATCCAGCAATTTAAGGCCCAAAAGATAAACAAAGTACCTTCCTGAAATTTTTCCATAAGCAATGCATTTCCTTGACTCAAAACACTCACAGTTGATTATTTTGTGGGTCCCTTGAGCTTCAACTGGCAGAACTGTATTCAGCTGAATCTCCTCCAAGACCCACTGCCTAATGGAGACTGACCTTAACTAGATGCTAAACAACCATGATTAGAGCATACAAATGTTTACAACTTTACAAGATATAGAAAAAAGCTTCAGAATCATCAGTCACAGGTGGAACCTTGGTATTTAAAGTAAAACAATGAAACACGGCGAGTCCAGGACAGAACAGATCAACTGCATATCGTCAAAAATGAAAAAAAATGTGTTTGGAAACGAAAATCAAACAATAAACATGAGTTTCGAGCCACACGAAGCCCAAACAAAATTCCTTCCACATCTTGTCTTCCGTTCTCTTTCTTGACACGTTCTTTCAACGCCGCTCGCACATCACAACATTCTTTACACGCCAATACTTGTACACAGCTATCGTCGAGGAAACAAATAAAACCAAAAGTTGACCAAAAAAAGCCGCATTCTTCGGCACAAACAATAGGACTTGTAGGAGGACACGAAAAATTAAAACACCCGCAAAATGCCGCAAAAAACTGATAACCTGGAGCTACGCCACGAAAAAAAAGGTGCGAACGAAACTGAGTGACGCCGGCACGCAAGTATAATTATTGCACTCCATTAAAAAAAATTCGTGTGACGAAAAAAAAAAAACGTGGCCCTCTACGAAGAACGGAAAGCAAAACTGGAAATTGAACTGAAATAAATGTGTGAAAACCAATGCGGAGTTTAATTTTTTTTGAGACCACGAGTGACTAAGTACAAGGAATCCACTTCTCGCTTTTTATCCCTTTCTTCCGGAAAGATGCATTCTGTTCCTTCGTGAAATTTCAATTTCTGAATAACTGCTTTAATGCCACGCATGGAAACGTGAAGGAAAAAAAAACGCCTGATCAAGACGAATGAAGAAAATTTTAGAAGAGTGGGTCGCTTCAAATGCCGAGGAAACAAAAACGCACTTGAAAACATTTTCGCGCTTCTTTTTTTTCCATAAAACAAACGAAAAAAGCTCCAAAGCAGTTTTCTTCGTTCTTCGAGTATTTGGCGCAGCGATAAAAAGCAGTTTTCTGGGAGGTGAAACGGAATGGCACTTCGGTCTTGTTCCTTTCTAGATACCGTACTTTACCCTCAAAGTAGATAAAGTAAAAATTTATTCTCTGGCTGACTCTTTCCTTCTTGGAAAAGGTGTAGTTTCCCGCGAATCAAAAAGAGGGATTGCAAAGCTTTGTTTCACAGTTGAGCAAAACGACTAATCTACCGTTCTTCAACGGCACAGAGTTACATTCGATTCAATCCTCAGCATCTTCAATGAAAACAAGATCTTCAAAGAAGACACGTTACGCCCTGGGAAAAATACACCACTTTCCTGAAAGGCAAATATTTTGCATGAATAGATGCGAAATTCAACAGCTCAACAGAAGTTTACTGTGCGTCACTCGAGAAGAAATCATGATGTGAGTAAATTTCCCTTAATTATACGCGAGATCGAATTTTCTTCCAAAATTACTGAATACAAAAATATTTTTAGAACAAGTCTAGATTAAATTTTAAAAACCAGGCAGGATATCGAGGTAGTCCGCAAACTTTTACACTTGGGAAAACCGTTATTTTTGGAAAAAAGTTATTGAATTGAAACGCAGATTCCATTCAAGCAAAAACAACGTGACAAAACAAATGCAACTTAAAAATGCAAATTTTATTCGGTATTGAAAAATTTTTTAGGAGTTTGATGGGCCTCGAACAGAATAAATAATTTTGCACTGCTTCCGACTTTCTTTCACCGAATTGATCACTTCAGTATAAAAACGCCGAGAGAACAAAGGATAATAAAATAAAAAAACATATTTTCACCGAAAATACTATACTATAAGCAGTATAAGGCATCAGATAATGTATGCGTTCACGCAAAATTCAAGAAATTTCTATCGATCCTCAGGGAATCGTTATTTCTGTAAGGGAACGTCCCCGCGGAGTCAAAATCCCACAGGACGAGAACAGTAGTGAATCGAATGTAACACTGCACACAGGTTCATTCTGGAAGCAATTTGCAGAGCTCAAGGAGTTCACTTTCGATATCCTACTTCTATTTTTTTTTTTGGACTGGCTTTCACGAGAAAAAAAAAAAAAAAAAAAAAAAAATTGGGGGGAAGGAGGGGGGNAAAAAAAAAAATAAAAAAAAAAAAAAAAAAAAAAAAAAAGAATTGGGGGAACGGAGGAGAGAGAGGTTTCAAAAGAGACCTTTTTTCTTCTTCTTCTCCATGGTTTCTTTGGAATTGGACTCGAGGGAAAGCCGACGAACGTCTTCCATCGTGATGCCGTAACTCTGCTCCCACTGCAGAACCTCATTCTCGAACGCCTTGCGCCGCTCCTTGAGCTCACGCTCTTGCTGCTCAATATTCGATCGCATGTGCTCATTCTTGTTCTTCAACTCCAGCTCCGAGTTCTTCATCTTCTGCTTCTTCTCCCGCACCTTCATCTCAAACACCTGCTCCATGTCCTGCTCCATCTGCTTCATCTTCACCTCATGCTCCTTCCGCTCCTCCTCCATCTGCGCCAGCGGGTTCTTGTTCGACTTGAGCATGATCGGGTCGTCGGACTTGGAGTCCACACCGGCCAGTTTCCGGCATCGATAGTTCTCATAGTGAACATTGTTGGTCACTTCTCGCAAGTCCATCATGTGCGAACGCACCACCATTTTGCGGAGGGCGACAAAGTCGCAGTGTTCCAGGTTCTCCACGTCCACAGTGCCCCAGGGGTATCGACGACCCCGCACTTTTTTCCCATCCACTTCCAGGACAGTGTTTGAGCCGACAATGGCGAAAGGGACGCGGTCCTTCAGGGGCCGCTGGATTTTACTCTCCTCCTCGTCATCAGAGTCCGGAAAGTCGTAAATTTTGATCTTGTGCTGCCGGATTTCCGTCAGCACTTGAGCCTTGAACTCGTCGCACTCTTCCGGCGTCATCGTATCCGCCTTCCCCACCACCGGAATCACGTTCACCTTCTCGTGAAGCCGCTTCATAAACTCAATGTCCAGGGGCTTGAGTCCATGCCCGGGGGCTACAAAATACAGGCAACAGTGGACTCGCGAATCCGGCACGCATTTCCGGTCGACGCGCGACTCGTTCACCAAAAACTCCTCGTAACGCGCGTCAATGTAATCGATGATGGGCTGCCAACAGTCGGAGTTGTCGACAGCGTCACCGAAACCCGGCGTGTCCACCACAGTCAGGGTCAAGTTGACACCCTTTTCCTTGAGCAGGACCTTGGTGGTCTCCACTTGCACGGTTTTCTTGATCCGCTGCGACGGACCCGGATGATCCTTGGAGTAGACGTCCGCCAGGAACATGGAGTTGATGAGCGTGGACTTGCCCAGGCCAGAGGCGCCGACAACCATCAATGTAAACTCGAATCCCCGCTTCACGGCTTTCCGGTAAACCTGATCCGGCAAGTTGGCAAAGCCGACGAATCCGTCGACCTTTCGGGGCTTTTGCTGCGGCGGTTGTTGCTCCGGCCGCACGCCGTGGCCGCCGCCGCCAGCAGCGCCACCAGACGCCGATTTCCCCAGCTTGTGATCAACGTTCTCCTTGTTGTTTTCTTTGGTGTAGGCCGAGTCTTTCTTGAGAATGGACGGCGGCGGGGGCGACGTTTTCGGCAACAGCCCGGCGTCCACGGGGCCCGAAGTCGGCTTGGACTGCAGGTGTTGACGGAGGGCTTCTTTGGCCACCTGCACGGACTGCGGGCCTCCGTTGGCGGCCACGGGCGACGTCAGCGACTGCGGCCCGACTGGCTCGTCGGGTGTCGAGCAGTGGTTCACCTGCTGGTGTATGCAAGAGAGAAAATAGATCAGAGGGGATACAAAAAGAAGAAGAAAACACAGAAAGAGAGAGTGTCTTCCGTTTGAGCAAAATGGTTCTCAACGAAACGCAGGAAACGATCGTGCACACCGAACTCGTCGCGTAAACATCTTGTCAGGCCTTCTTAAGCCCCCGGAAGGAGCAAAAAATAAACAGTGAAGGCTGGGAATATCTCGGAGATAATATCCACTCAATCACCGTTAATTAATCCCAACTTCACGCATATACAGTATAACAATTATGGATTCGGTATAGTGAATTATCTTTTGATTTATCTCAGTCTTTAGGACGCGGTTTAACAACTTCTCTCAGCTTTTTATAGAAGCGCTGTCATTTCTCATGCTTGAAAACTCTCCCATGATGACCATTCCAAATCAATTGGAAAAGAAGTGAGACTCGCCGACAATATTTTCCTGAGATGAATGAACTAATGCAAACGTTTATAACGAAGAGTCCCTTCGACCCCACAGACCAACTAAAAATATTACGTTTGTATCACAGCAATTTTATCCTGGAAAACTTCTGGGTCGATTAGAAGAAATTAGCACAGTTGTAGTCTAAAAAAGAACCATTTTTACACGAGGGACTACAAAATAATTCCTGCATTTAAAAAGTCGCGCGAAACAAGGACAACCTTCTTCAGATCTCTGTGGCACAAATAAAGAACCAGATGTTAACTTAGTCTCAACATGACCATAAAATCAGACATACTGTAATTCAAAAAAGAACTCGAATCCTAATTATTTTCGAAATCAATTAAGACGATATTACTGAACAAAAATCGTTCTACTTCAGTACTTCCAACTCCGCCTGTTTGTGTTACGATTCATGAAAGTTTTCATGGATAAATCGGGGTCAGTCAAAGAATTCGTCCTATAAATAAGGTTGAAAAAAAAACGAAATTCCCATGGCATTCATGAAATTGTAAAAAAAATGCTGCACATACTATTTGAATGGCGGCTTGAAATTACATCAAATTAGCGAGGACATGAGAAAAAAACCCTTCAGCTGAACCAAAAAATTCTCCACTAACTGAGATTACTATTCCATAGAATGGAATTATACCAGATGGACAATTTCTAAAAATAAAAAAGCATTCCATAACGAGATTGGCTAGGTTCCAAGTAGATGGACTTTTCTTCCGATACTAACTGCTCAGCAGGTCCCAAGGGATGTAGGAAGATGTTACATAAATAAGATAATTTTGATTCTTCTTAATCTTTCGCCAAATTTTTCCAGGATTAAACGACGAAAAGAATAGGTATATCGTAATTGTTTTCTGGACTAAGCAGATCGATGAACAGTTGAATTGCCTTCCATGGTTCCATGTTCGTCTTTTTTATTGTTTCAAATCAATATTTACTAGCGTAATTATCACAGATGCTTCAATGCGACCTTGGAGAACAGCATGAAGTTCTCGGAGAATTGATTGCCGAAAGAAGAAGTGTTCTCCACTACCATACATCTCACTAAATGAACACGTATTTTAAGCCAGAAGAACAACTCGCTTGATTATATACGATAGAAATAAAATTTTCACTGTCAAATAAAAATCATTACACAAATCTGAAGATACAAACTCGACAGCAAACCAAAGAAGCATCGCAGCCCCCTCAGAATGCAATCAACCTCTGCAATACAGTTGAGTAACGGCTGGTGCAAAAATTACTGTCCCCCCAACAACATTGAATCATGTGAGGGGAAAAACACATACGCAGGAAAAAAAAAGAAAAGTTTTGTCAACTGAAACCAAACCATAAGAGGCAAATAAATCCTCCGTCGCTACTCGCGTTGCTACACACGGCAAATGACGCGCGATACCGAGAAGACGTTGTTACATCACGTCATCGCTGCGTTCGTGGAAAGAAAGAAAACATTTGCTTTGGGAACAAGCGCCGAAATAATTGGCGTCAAAAGCTCTCGCGAACTTGAGCATAATACAGTACTGTACTGTGCATACTGCGCTACGATTGGAGGAGATCGACTTGTAAACACCCGCCAGAATAGCGGCGCTTGTACCCAAAGGAAACGCCGCCTTTGTTGAAAGAACTTTGGTTATTTCCGATTTCATCGAGCTTGCAAACAAAGCAATGTTCGAAGATTGCACTCTTTGATTTACGAGGCGCGTCTCATTTGCGATCGCAGTTCTGGCCAAAATTACAACCGCTTTGCGAGAGGAAAACGTTTTCTGAGTTCGAATCATTTTTCCCCCATTTGAAAAATTATTAATCACTTCATCCTGAAGTGATTAAACTTCTTTCTCTGCACTATTTTCATCCTGAGAAACATGACGACATCCCACAGAAACAGAATAAGGTATTTCTATATTGCCACACCTGAAAGTTTGTCCGATACTTTTCGGAAACAGGCAATTACGGGAAAAATTGAGTCCCAATTTTTTTTAAACAATCATTCACAGTTTTACACTGACATTTCGCTCTAAATCATCCAAGTGAATCACTCTAAAGTCACGCATTCTGGAGCGGGTACCATTTGATTATGATGCACTCTCAGTGTTTCCCTCGCATTTCCGGCAGTAAAAATCAAGGGGGAGAGTAATTAAACATTAGGGGGACGAAAAGAAATAATCCGACTGATTCTCCAGGAAGAACTCGCGAATCAAACTGTCCCCGAAGTCCAAGTGACACACTAGATGCGTACTTGAGCAAAAACGCTGAAATGAGACATTCCTCGTATGTTCTATAAACAAATTAATATACTCGTACATAAGCTCACGTCATGCACAATAACTCGCCAATTTGCTCTGATACTCTGTATCATAAAAAGGATTTGCACAACAGTTCACGAACGAGAAAATTTCGCTCGATTCACGTCTAACAGTCAAGCTTTCGCATCACAAGAAGTTACAAAAAAAATAAAAATAAAAACCACGAGCAAGTTAAGACGCTTGGATTTACACTTGAATCATTTCACTTCGCATACAAATGGGCAATAAAATTCAAACGAAGTAAATTCTAAATGGAGAAAAGTGAGGAACCGTCAAAGCATCCACGTCAACTGAGAGACGAGTCGCAAGGCAAGCATTCTGTCAACAAAAAAAACAAGACAAAAATAAACAGGAAAAACTAAAATAAGTTCAACAAACTGAACGAGCAAACGGGACGCCGACAGCGATAAGAAAATCGAGGAATACGGTAACTAGCTTTCCACTAGAAACTAAGGAAGTGAAAAACATGATTTCAAAACCAGCAGTCCAGTCATTTTCAACCTACGTCCGTTGTCACACTCTCAAGAAAGACGGCACAGGACTCACTGCGTCAATCGCACGTTCGTTGTATACGTTCTCGTCCATCGAGTGTGTGTCAAGTCAGTCAGCCGAATGCAAACAGCCCAATATCTCCTCCGATTTTGTTTCTTCTCTCCCACGAACCAAAAAAAAAAACACTATGGAACCGATCGATCGACCAATCAATCAATCATAGACACCCGCACGAAGACCATCATTTCTCGTCCCCACCCACGACGACGACGTATTCCGCAAACAGCGCCCACATACCGCACCAGTGGGTAAGCGGTGCGTGTATTCTTCTGTCGATCGGGTAACGCACACAATAACAATGCCAGTGGTCACGACCAGATGCATTCGAAACAAGGGAATTCATATTAGCGGGTGCCGGGACAATCGGGCGCGCCCCAAAACGGCGCCAAAATGTTAACACATGACAGCGTCATTTGGACACTTCACTGTACTACACTAGACTAGTGTGCAGCGTGGGATGCGTATGATTAAATGTGCGAATGCAACGGGATTTCCATCATCCATACTTATTGAATATGACAAAGATAAATTTTTCCGTGTACCGTAATTAAGCGAATAAAAGCATTCCTCGAATATGAAGCACCCCCGAGATTTTTTGGTGCACAAAATTAAAATTCCATCGATAGACGAATTCAAATACCCACTTCCTATCTTAGTATTCTGACTTTCCAGGAACCTAAAATTTCTGACTTAATTTTGAATTTTTACCCGGAAAGGATAAACGATGTCAAGATAGGGTAAACAAAGGCCATCTTCAACATACACGACGTTTCCGGTCTGCATATTTCACTTCAACATCCTATTACTTGAAAAATATACAGATGAATTTTCTTCACGACGAAATTCAAAGGAATAGAAAGAATCGTTCTTGAGAAAAGTTCGTTGCGGAGAACCCCAATAACATGGAAAGACAACCGTATGGGAACAAAAAAATTATTTTTACGGAGAAAATTGTTATAGACAAGATCTTTCAAGAGAAAGTCCACCCGTGCAATAAATAGTAACACTTATATATCACTGTATTTCAAAAAATTCCGCAATTCATTTCCAATCATTTCGATTGCTCCTGTGACTTGGAAATCGAAAAAAGGGTGCTTACATGTACGCGAATGACATGTACATCACTGTATATGCGAATATTGCAAATACTGTACAGTACTTCAATTTTTTAAACCATAGAAATTGAAAACAGAGACTTACATGATTACATCCGCGCACATTCGCGTGAATACCGTATGTGATGCTTCGGGCAAGCTAAATTTCTTGAACACTGTTCAGTACAAGACCTGTCGCGTAAATCACAAGATGTGACAAGCGCTCAACTGACCGGTTAGGATAATAGAGACGGACACACACAGGCAGACGAAGAGATAGAGAAAAGAAAACGGTATCCAATCCAATTGAATCACGTTAGAATACACTAATTCCACAACCCGATGGAATCACCCTGGGACCAAAGACAGTCTGGAAATGGTGATTCAATAGTGATTCGCATCCTCTCAGACAAAAGATAACACAATCAGGCGCACCGATAACCAGGTGCATTTTCAGACAAGAACAAATGAAAAACTCGGCCGTGACAAGAAAGAAAGGTGGAAAACTTTTTTCTCGAAACCTCCACTCTACAAACGGAAAACTTCAGAAAATTACAGTGGAACCCCGATTACCTGGACATACGATCGGTTACAATGTCCATATAATATTATATTACGAAGAAATAATTTTCAACAATTGAAAAAACTTCAAAATGTACGTCAATAAATATTATCGACATTTACGCAAATATCAGAGAACAAAATGTCGGATGATTAGTCAACCAGCTGGAAATAAGAGCGGCTCAAGTAAATATCCAACAGTTGGCACGCCCCTTCGTTTCCTATCAATATATCGAAATTCTAGAGCAGCAGTTAATCAAACAGGTCTAAAATTACTTGAAAACAACAAATCCCTTCATCACGTTACAATTTTTAAAGCGCACTTCATCCAGCAGATTCCCACAAATATGCGCACCGTCACACACACATCGGAGATATCACTGTTCAACAAAATCAACAAACTTCTTCCAGGAAAAGGAATAAAAAAAATTCTTGACCTGCATGACCGCACGTCAAAATTGACCCACCCGTTTCAAGCGATCTAATAATCAATTGCGAGTATCAGCGCAAATAAAAAGCGTAATTTTAATCACTGTTCGATCTCGCTCGGAAGCTTGAAGTACTCAGCAGATGGAAACGCAATAAAACCTCAACTGGAAATAAGTGGCAGAAGAAAGAATACGGATACTGAAGTACTAGGCACGCAGACACAAGTGCGCCAGGTTTGAAAACAAGGCAACTCGTAAATAATGAATGCTTCTCCATGCACGCATCAATAACGACGAGCTAGTCATTCTTTTCGCATTCCATGAAGAGCGAAGGCATATTTTGGAAGCAATGTGAAATAACCCTGAATCTGATTCACGCAATTGATTTCCACGTCACAGTACGGAACAATTCGCGGAAAAATGTTGAATATCAAACGCAGCATTCTTGTATTACGGATGTTATTTGTAAGTCCGATTCCATTTCTCCGGAATAAATCTCGCGACCGATTTTCAAGACCTGATTTTTTTTTCAAAGAAAAGCAGAAATATCGAATGTTACAGGAAACTCAGAAACTATAACCAGTTACTGCATCCAAGCCCAACTGGCATCAGTTAAAGATTTATAAAACGTTGCTGTCAATCTAGTCCACAAAAAAGCAGAATCAACAAGCAAAACTCGCTGATCGTAAAAATTAATTTTGATTTGATGCTTGTTTTGAGGGTAGAATTAATTTTTAATTCGAGATGCCTGAAATTAACACCGAGGTGTATTTCGGAATGAAATCGGACAAGGACACTTCAGCTAGACTGCTTCAGTACTATAGCACAGTATTTCCGGTACTCGATACTAATACTGTACAGTATCCGTAAATGAAAAACTTTTTCAAAAATTTTGATAATACTCCCGTCGATTTCCACAGATTCGACTATTTATTCCTGTTCCTGGTACGATCTTAATCTTTATAATAATTTCAACAGCTACATTTATTGAAATAAAAAACCTGGAATACAGCGTCAATCGGCACTTTAAGGCATCAATCACCATAGGTCTTTTCCGTAAAAGATAACATCCCAGCAACTTCGAGCGAAAATTTGCACTACATTTACTAAAAATTCGAATTATGAAAACGGTGAAGATCTATGCTGATTCGACACCGCTTTATTTAAATAAAAGATACGAAGAAACAGTATTTCCTTCTTGTTTTTTTCTTTGTTATATCTCTCGCGGCGGAAACGTCCATCGTTGAAACAAAGCACCACGGGACAAGGAAGCGGAAAAAAATCTCGACGAACACAGCTCCACAGTGAATGAACAAGTAGGAAGATTGTTGAACTAGACGGTAACGACGCGGAAATCGTAACACCCTACGGAGTTCTCCGCAATCTCGGTCAGGCACTGACAACTCGAACGAGAATTGAGGGGGGAGGGGGGGATGGGCACCGATTGACCTTTGGGGAGTCGAGTGCTTATATTAAAAAAATTGCTGCTCATCTGAGCAAAAACGAAGAATGAATGAAAATTTGAACTCCTCGTGGGCAACTTACAGAGGTAGGAAACAAAAAAACAAGGGACGGTTCTAATTCTTGCCGGTTATTAAAATTTGTTTTTCTCAAATGCTTTAGTTTCTGAGTTGGATTCCTCGAAACTAAAGCAGAATCATACGAGGGTCTCAGTTTATTCTAGACGAAGTTAATCCAAATAAGGGTGTGACTCGAGAAATTTTGTTCCCCGATTAACACGTCGCGGCGACATCATCATTCAGCAAAAAATAAAAAAAAAGGTCACAGATCAGAACATTTTCGATTTGAACATGTTCACGAGATTTGGGAAATTGACCACAACGAATGTTTAATCGTTTCTTTTGGCACTTAAGTTAAAAGAGCTAAAAGTCTATTTAAAAAAAGCAATGGTGAAAGGTAAACCTCATTTCCTCTCATTCTACGAAGCACTTTCATTGCCTTTTTCTAAACCAATGAGAGAACAAATAAGAACAGCTGCAGGAACATAAATGAAAATTGATACCCAAAAATTGCCACGATCTCCTTCAATTCTACAGGACTCTAAATCACACAAGACTGACAAGAAACAAACCATCACGTTTTACAGAAAATCACGAAACATTTGTCAAAGAATGTCAATGCGAGCGAAAATTCGTCGCGATGACTCGGATTTATGCTGATTTTATTTTATACTTTCACGAACGATGAGGGGGAATAAATTTAGATATTCATTCGCAAGAAGCCCGGAATGAGAGAAGACTCAAGTACAGTACATGATAATCGCCGGGTTCCGACATTTCAATACACGAGACCACAATAGCCTTGGGGTCATCCGAGGGACGCAGTTGGCCCACTTGCTCACTGAACTGAGTCTAAATCACGTGGCTTCACTGGACATCGTAAAAATAATTTCGAAACCGAGGAGAATCCCAAAATTATAGCCAACCCGGGTCGCAAACGTCCACGAGACTGACTCGGAAACTTCAAAAGTGGACAAGATACCATTTCTTCCAGCGATATTCCCCATCGTTTGGGTCACGGTCGTCGTTCTAAACTTCTAATGATAACGTTGGGAGCAGAAGGAAGTTGTGAACTTTCTCAAATATTTCCACATAGGATCAGAATAAGACCCACACTCGATACCGCACCACAGCTACTTCCTTCTGAACACCAGAAGGTGCAAAACAATGCCAACAAAAAACACAAACTACTAATGAACAATTCAAAAACTGATGGACAGTGAAAGGAAAATCTAAGCTGAATATTCAAGCAATGTCTCACTCATTGTGCACATGGTTGATCAATTTTCAAACAAGTAAGACGCAGTGACGTGACCACGTTCAACAAAAGCAAGAGACACTAAGTTAAAACTTTGCACCACAGAGGCAACGAGACGTTGCTCAAAATCAAGTCAATAACACGATTTGAAAAAAAAATTGTAAATTTGCAAGAATTTTTCAATCTGCTACGCGGACTTGATCACTAATCAAAATTCTAGGACAACCAACATACTGCACATCACCAATGCAAAAAAAATTCCAGAATTTACAGCAGCCCGTGTTTCCGTCCGATGTCCAAGCATTTTCTACTTCATTCAACCGCCCTAGATTTTGACCAGCTCGGATCAGCGCGGGACACAGCTAACAACTTTTTTTCTATCATCAGAACTTCCAGTTTCCAACAATCGAAAGGGCCAGGAGGGGGGAGTTTCCTGGTAGAAATCTCTCTCAGATTACATTCGATCGATCTGCTTCCGATTCGAGACATTGTTCGTTCAACAAGCTTGCTGTCGGGTTATCGAGATTAATTTTATTTCCCTTTACTTCTTAATCTCTTTTCCTCGCCCTGTGTGTGCGAACTTCTCAGTCGAGTGCCAATTTTTAGCCTGATTTCCCCCGCGGTATGGATTTCGATATTATCGGCTTGACCCGGTTTCCCAGGTGCACCGTTTTCTCTGTTGCGCTGAACTTTCAACAAATTTTTCAGGACTCGAACGAGTCCACTGAGAAATACATTGTGCTAAGTATGTTGGGTCGTATTTGCTATCAACCAGTAACGATACATGGTTGAACCTCTACAAATCAAATCTTACTGAAGTCAAATGCATCCCTCTGTCGAATTTTTCCGGTACCGGGCTGAATTCCACTGAGAAACAATGCTTGAAAATTTTATAACCTCGAAGGCTTTCCCCCTCAAATCTCCATAACTCGAATTTCGTGTAGGAGTTTTGGCTAATACTTTACTGAAACAGGAACCAGAAAAGCAATTAAAAATTTAATTTGATGCGTTTTGAAAGGAAGTGAAAGACTGATTGGGCAAATGAAGTTAATAAACCCTTACCTTCAACTTCAGCATCCTGTCAATTCAGGAAGCGATTTCAGACTCCGAGTATCACAAATTAAAATTTTCTGCAATTCTTCCTTTTCCCAACAAACATTTTCCATCTTCAACTTTGAAACCTCTCTAACTCGGATTTTTTGCCAGTCCCTTGCAGTTTGACTGCAGAATCACAGAGGAATCATTATCGAAAAATCAAAAATGTTACTCTTCGATCTAGCGATGAAACTTGGAAAAGTTTCAAGGCAATGTGATTCATCTGTTGTAGCTACAAACTGGCTCAAGATTTGCAAGCGTTGTGCGCATGAGCAAAATAAAGGCGCATGAATTAGTAGTTTTATAAGAATTACTCCAAATTTACACGATGAGCTTTAATGTGGGTAGATTATCCGGACAGTGGCTGTCACATGGATGTAAACCTGGATTCCAATTAATTCTGTTTCGTCATTATTGTTCCTTAAACGTGTTTGTTAAAATTCGCTAGTCACAATGAGTTAAGTTACAGTACTTGGAATTATGGACATGTATAAGCAAACGGGATGTTCTGTATGCATCGGAATGTACGAAACTAAGAAAATCACCAGTAATATTTTTTTTTCGAATACTGCAAGAAAATGTCTTTTTCACTAATCAATGTAATTTTGCAACCCGGGCGAATGAAATTGTAGATTTTTTATCGATTCTGCTAACAATAAAAGATCACGTTTCCAATTTCAGTGCTTTTCCCAATATAAATACGACACTTCGTTGCACGATTTTTATTTGCGTATTTTGATTTGAGACATATTTATAGTCGCCCGCATTTCCGCCTGGTGCCAAAATGTTACCAACTTCAAGCAATCGTAAAAGATTTTTTGCTGCACGGAAGTACGCGAAACATTTTGCGATCTTTTTCAGCAAAATTTAGTTTCTGACTATCGAAAAGACCTCAAGGGAGGGTTTCCTCGTGTATCTCACTGGCTATTCCAATCAATCAGTCCAGGAAACTGAGTATGGTGCGATATGCTCATTTCCTGTTTCCTCGTGAAATATTCAACATTGGCAAACGTTTGACAAAGTCGGAAAAATGTCAATAAGTTCACTTTTGGTTTATTCAGAAAACATTATTTGGGAGCCCCTAGAGACTGCTCTTAAAATCCCTAAAACATAAAAGCGAATCAATCAAGTTGATCTGATTTCCTCATGGTACATTCAATTCAATATTTACGGATAATAATTTTTAGCAGCGGTCAGAAAAACTTGAAATATAAAAAAGTATAACTTTTGTTAATCCCTATCCATCAATGCCGAAGGACTCGAGCAAAATAACCACTTGAAAGACAGAACACAAAAACCACGCTCGTACTTGATTCGGTCTTCAATTCATAACATTCCCGTATGAATTCGATTCACGAAACCATCAAACTTTGACGATTCGATCGGGAACAGAAGTACACCACAAAGAAGGGGAAAAAAACACAACACTTACGTGATTTGAAACAGGGACGGTGCTCATACTGGCGGACGATTGCGCGGACGTAGAATGGCTCACACTGTTCGACGAAGAATGCGAAAAGGTCTCGTTTTTGAAAAACATTTCCCTTTTGCTCTGCAACGCCGTTCTCCTACTGTTGAGGAGATCCGTTCCTTTCGTCGTAGCCATAAATGAGCGTGAGAAGTTCAGAGCGTACGTTTGCACACTTGCGTATCACCGTCGACGCCACCTCGACCACCACCAATAGCGGGTTGTGAAAGAGAATACAGACGCTCGGCTCTGACCCGCAAACACACAGTGATCCGAAGTCAACACGGGTATTCCTTTACTTCACTTCACGCGACGCACACCTCTATCGCGGCACACCTTCCATCCCGAACGATAGCTGCTATGCCTGAGCCAAGGTCTAAATCCTGTTCCGCAATCATGGAAAAGATGCGTGAGTCATTCAACTTCGAATGCTTCTCGGCATCACCTGCAACGGAGAAATAGAGAGAGAAACTAGGAAAACTTTCCTCCGAGCGCAACACACATGCACACTTATTTACACACAGAGAATGGGACACCGCGACAATGTGAACCCAACTTCACACCAAATGACAAGACTCCCAAGTATCCCAACACAGCTCGCTTCCGTGTTTCAACCTTCATTCAGCAAAGATGGATTACGCATAGGCTGCACATGTTGAATCACAAACATAAACTTGCCTTAAATGACTGCGTGATCTCTACCATTACCTTCCATGTTTCCCGAAAAAACATTCATTATTTTTTTCTAAGAAGTCCTGGCCCAACCTTTCTACAGTTCCTGTGACTAAATACTACCTGTTGAACTGCACACTGCATGCATATCGGGGATTTGGAGCTTAATATTAATTTCGTGGAAGTTCGCGATAAAAAAATACGATATTCAGGGTTTCAACATGAATTTAACTGACTGGTTTTCTGTAATTCCAAAGTCTGACTTCATGGATCTGATTCCACTGTAGAATATACCCTAGTATTTGGTGCATGGACTCTCTCTACAAAGAACTTCGATGGACCAAAAAACAAATTCGTTGTACAGTGCTGAGACTTTCGTTGCAGAGAACCACTATAAAATGGGGAGAGATCCTGATGAAAGTATGAAACCAAAAAAATTATTATAAGTACAGTAAAGAAAAAATATCGCTATACGGAAAAAAACATTGTTATTGACAAGATCGTTGAATTTGTTTTACAAAGGGGCCACCTGTATTCCTGCAGCATGAATTTATTTTGAAAAAATTTGGCCCCCTTTACTCTCAATTAGTGTTAACACAGTAACCTGAAAAGCCGCAAATTCAGATAACCTACTTGAAGAATCAGTCAGTAAAAGCTAGAGAAAAACCTTTAGAGATTTGATGCGGGTTCACACTAGACAAGCATATGAATGCAGGGTCGAATTCAACACTGAAAATGAACAAATAAATCCTCAAAATATGTGCACGCTTCACAACCTCCAGCAAATAATCTCCGTATGCGGACCACACGCCGCACACCACTGCAACACGCACCGAGGTACGAAGCGGCGCGAGTGGGACTGGCAAAAACACCGCCGCGGCGCTGGGTGTGTGCTCGCGGGCTCTCTCTCTCTCCCTGATGTCTTGCCCCATTGCCCTGCTGGCGGCAGAATACTGTATGTACAGAACAGGAATGAACATGGAAAAGGGAGTACGTAAAAGGGCGTCCTGGCGGCGCTATTCTACTGGATGAGACCCACCTCTGATTTGATAGCGCGCCGCCATGACACTTCACACGCGACATCTACTGACAATACACAGAATAGCATGAAATTAAAACTCATCTCCCCATTCCAACTCCACATCTAACAAATCCTCACTGTCCTAGTACAGAACCTGGGTAACAAACCACTTGTTAGAGATGGAACTGTTTCATCATGATTACACTGTAGCCAGTCCCATTGAAAATATTGTATGTTTTAATATGGTTTCAGTGTGGAATTCATAAATCATTGCTGGGAATGGCTTATTCAAGAGAGAAAATTAATGTAGCATTAACCCGCATACAGCATCATAATTGTGAGGCCAAATCTTGCTGGAGCTGAACTCTTTGCCACTGTGCCCCCCACCCCCTCTTGTCCTGCACCATACACTCTTCCTCCTGTGGTTGTGCATGAGTGACTTCAAGAATCAGGAATAAATCCCTTATGCAGAAATTGGTGTAGCTAGTTTACTTTTTGTAAGAAAATTTGTTTGTCCATGAGCCGCCTTCACAGCCACCACATGCAGCTGTGAAAATTATTTATTGACAGCTGCCTTCACAGCCACATGTGGCAGCTGTTGATGAAAATGGTAGAATTACCTTGGAAGACCTGGAGGCAACCCTTGGAATTAATGCCACGTTGATTTCAATAATTCTGAGGGGAAAACTGGGCTACAAAAGAACTGAAGGAAGGGCACCTCATCTTTTTAGTGGAGAGCAAAACTGTGCCAAGGTGAATTTTGCAAAACATTAAACAATTGTCAAACAGGGCTGATTTTTTTTGGTGCGCCAAAGAATATGTTTTCCCTAAAGAATAATTTTTTTTCAGCTCAATTAGATGCCATTTCAATTTCCATTCTGAGAACTTTTGTTAGAACCCTCGTATACATTTAAAACATGTTTTAATTTTCCCTCACCTGCTGCTACTGCTTTGTGAGATTGGCACAATGAATACAGGTGGACTCTCTGTACAACAAACAATCTTGTATACAATGATATATTCTGTATAATGATTTTTGCGTCCCATGGGTTGTCTCTCTGTGCTATGAGGGCTCTCTGCACAAACAAAGAAAAATTCTAGTCATTGAATCTTCTTGTAAAGAGTTCACCAATTACACATCATGGCTGTATATGCAGTGCTTAGTAGGAAACAATTTGTCTTTTCAATTGTATTGTAGCAAAAAAGACCACCCCTCCCATTTGGTGGGTCAATCTATCAGGCCCCCAACCAGAAAAATATGAAGGACCACTAACTGGGCCCCAAAAAATATCATTTAATTCTTGGACCCCAGCAGGGATTAGGGCTTCTAAGGAACAAGTACAGTATTTCAGGACTTCTACGTGGCAGTTTTTTCTTGGTTTTTTGTAAACATTTTTATTCTGTGCCCAACACAAAGAAAGAGTTCCACTTGAAAATAATCATTATGTCAAGGCTTGCTCATTTTACTCCATTAAGGTGAGGTACAATGAAAATACTAGTCTTGTTTTTTGCTTTATCTGTGCAATAAATTACACCAAATTTTTTTTTCAATTATGTTCTCAAATACAATAGTTTTTTATTACTGTATTCTGTTCCTTAAAAATTATTTCTGAAAAAAATATAAGGCCTACTACCTGACAGGATGTATTTGTTTGGACGTTGGAAAGCCCTGCTGCAAGATGCAGAACTTTCAATATGTTGGTTAAGGTGATTTTATAAAAAAAAATCTGGTCTGCACCGTCTGCCATAATTTCAAAGGATAAGGGTGAAATTGAAGGTGTTTTTTTTCTTTCGAGAGAATGTTTTTATTTTTCACACATAATTCCTCAATCATATTTCCTTTTTTGCATTTGTCTATCATTGGGATGGATTTGAAACATATCAGTGCAGTCCACTTTCAATTCAGCGACGGACATCATCTCAGTGATTTTACGTTAATAGAACTTCCGCACCTTTTATTTAGTGCTCTCCATTCTGATCAGAATTTCAATTAGAAGCACATTTTCACTTATGACTGCTCATCTAGAATCAAATCATGATAAAGTCAAACCGTATTAAACCGCCAACATTCCTGCAGCACGATTTTGGCAGTTTAAGAGGGGTGGCAGTTCATCAACGTAGTACTAAAAAGAGGCCAGTCCAATTGCCTACCTCCTTCCCCAAAGGAAAACCAAAGCCTGCATATTAACTTAAATTGAAACAATATTGTTTTAAATTTGTATGTAGGTGGGGTCAAACGTTTCTGCCTGGACCTGATCATATCTTGAGCTCCTTTCGGACCTTTTCCCCCATCCAAAATTACTGAGAGCTTCTTCTCTTTATTTTTATAACCTGCAGGGTGGAAGGGCACAGGAGCTGTACAAGTGATGTACAGTACCAGTTTCCCACAGCATTTGCGCAGTCTCAACTCTGAGAGAGTTCCAAATTGCCATTTACTACAACTTTATCTGTTGTGGACAAAAGCCACTTGCTACAAGTCATTTCTAAAACTTTTGTCATTAAAAATAGGACATTGAAGTGGTCGTAGAGGTCGCTCCTGCTTCACGTACGAGCGGTCTCGGGAGGGTTTCCTCATATCGGAGCGCCGAAAAAGTCGCCGATTTTTCGCACTATTCCTCACAACACTCCAACCACCGAAATCAATCAACAGTCTTGATTTGATGAAGGAATAAGCCCGGGATCACCGTCACAAGCCGTTAAACCACCTCATACTTCCAGATTTATCCCGAAAAATGAAGATATTACAGCACTTACTAACGCAGATTTCTATCGTACTCCAACAAGGGCAAGAGGGATTCCAACAATTTTTTCTCGTATGCGGAACGCAACAATTGATTGATGCGAAAATACAACTCCTATTCCTCAAGAAAATAAAGAAAGAAACGGAATTGAAACACCGATGTGGTCCTTCCGTGAAGGCCGATAGCCCAATGCGGTAAGTCACACAGGTGCTGGGCATTGTATGCCTACCAGTGAGCTAGAATCATAGATGCTTCGGTGAACTGATTTGTTTAAAGTAAAACAATTACTTGAGTCAGAGAGATTCGACAGCTTCTCGCTTGCCCAGACTGCAACGGTTATCAAGTACTGTGCAGCGTTGGATTTGTATATCTCAGAAATCTCATCCTCCGAAATGATTAAAAACTGACCCACTGGGGAACAGGTTCACCTTTAATTAATGCATTAACACACCCAGATCTTTCATCATCAGATTTGGAGCGGCTACCCCTCGAATAATCAACTGAGCAGTTTCCTATACTGATATATCCGAAAATGGAGGCACTGTTCAAAAGAACAGCACCATCGAATATTATTCCAACTTGCCACGCACATTCAGCAAATCAGGAACACGAACTCCACTCAATATACAGTAATATACATCCCACTTTTTGTTGAATGAAACCGTACGTCCCGCAGTTAACGTCGGGATGCCGGCAAAAATATCCGTAACCGTCAACGGAGATCTCAATGCACTATCACGGAACAGCTGGCAATATTCCGGAACAATTTCTTCCCAAAAAAGCAGAAACACAATAAATTCATTTCCAAAATTATTTTCAAAATTAACTCTCACACCCGAGTTTAAACCCGCCAAACAGCATTTCACAGTTCTATTCAAATTCAAAAATCGATTCTGCTCTTCCGACGATTCCCAGAGCGAGCGTGGGACATAAATTGTTTGCGGTGGGACGAACATCGGGTAAACCATGTTCAAATTTAGTTTGTGTAGATGTCGCTAAAACCACCCCAGCTAAATAATCATTCAAT